GAGTTCCTTAGCAGTCCCTCCCAACCAGCTTTGGGTGTTTCATAACATTTTCAGCCTATGTTTCTCCTAGCTACCACCACTCCAAGCTCTGGGCGCTGGCTCCCCTGGGGCATGCAGCCCCAGGTCCCCGTGGGGGACACACCAGGAAGAGGTGGGAAGGCACAAACGGCCAGTCCTGGGCTGACACTGACAGTCCCGGCGCTTGGAGGAGAGGTGACCACGGCTCAGGGAAGTGGAGGCTCTAGCCTCTGCATGCAAGAATGGGAAACGTTTTGCAAACCACTCCCAAGTCCGGAACAAGTCCCACAGAGCATGTTAATCCTGATCCAATCAATCACTGGACAAAGTTACTCAACAGCGGAACACACTCCAGCCAATCAACGACAGCGCCATTCCGGGGCGACACGTCACTTCTGAGAGCCAACCAAGCAGCAGCGGCCTCACTTGAGCGTGGCCACCTCTGAAAGTCAGCCAATCCCCGAGCGCCAAGGCTGAAACTCAGCTAATCTGCAAACACTGGCTTCTGAAAGACAGCCAATTGCCAAGCACCATGCTCTCCAGACTCTATATAAAAGATCCGTTCTGAGTCAGGGCACAGTCCGGGACTACCTGTGGTTGGGGGTGGGACAGCCAGGGCTACCCCGGGAAAAATGACCTGGGACTCCTGGGGTGAGGCGGGGTGGAGGGGATCAGGGAAGACTTGCTGCTGGAAGTGAAAGCCTAGGGGCAGGACGGGGGTGGGTCCTGGCCCCCCAGTATTCCTCAGGGCCAAGCTCAAGGTGGGAGATCATTGGGGGTGAATTTCTGGGGGTCTTGGAAGAGGAGGCCCGGGTTTACCTGGTGGCGGGGGAGGCCGCACTTGCTCAGTCTTCCTCCTGGTGGCTCTGGGAGGGACTGGAGTGACACCTGCCCACAGTCCACGTAAGAGTGCCTGGGCCCCAGCCCTGGCTCTGTCCCTGATCCCTGGGGAGCCCTTCTATTCACATGGGAGACCCAGATTGTTTTTCCCAGCCTTGCCTATTACTGGCTTTTGGGGAGTGAGCCAGCAGGTCAGACTTCTCTGAGACCAGCACCAGCATCCCATGTGGGCACCAATGCATGTTTCAGCTGCTCCATTTCCCATCCAGCTCCCTGCTTATGGCCTAGGAAGGCAGCCGAGGATGACCCAAAGCCTTGGGAACTTGCACCCACACGGGATATCGGGAAGATGCTCCAACTCCTGGCTTCAGATCGGCTCAGCTCCCGCTGCTGTGGCCTATGGGAAGTGAGGCAGCAGGCGGAAGATCTTTCTCTGTCTCTCCCTCTCTCTGTAAATTTGTCTTTCACCAGGAAGGCAGGGAACTGCTGGGAGGGCTGCCAGCAAGGGTAGTGAAGGCCTGGGGAGGTTGCTGGGGTGGCAAAGCAGTGCCTGGGTGTCCCCACACCTGTCAGGTCCTAGTATGCCTCTCCCAGTGATAGGAACAGTGTGGTTGGAAGTGGTCATTTACTGCCATCTGCATCTATACTGCTCCATCAATACATACTTAACATGGATGTAGATAAAAATGAATCTATGGGAGATTTGGGAAGTAACATTATTAATAACCTCAATTATATCCTTAATATTACTGCACTTTTGTCTGAAATTGATGACCCAGAAATAGCTGTAATAGTAGACCTCCTATGTAAGTCATGCTGTGACTTAGTAATGGATATAGAATGTATGTTGGAGTTTTTGAGCAGAGGTGACTCCATCTTCCTAAACTACTGGTGAAATGGGGCTCCTCTCCTATCGCTGCTGTCAGACTCCCATGTGTGCAAGCCCTGCCTTATCATCCTTGTCAAGGTGCTCCCATGTGCGTAAGCCCTCTGCTATCACTCCTGTCACAAAGCCCTAACGTACGTAAGCATGTCAGGAAAAACAAGTTATGGTAAAAATGATAAAAGAAGAAGAAAATGTGTCTTGATAAATATGCAAAAAGACATGTTTTTCAGAACTAAGAGAAAGCAGATGTTATTGATAGATAACATGTAATAACCAATCAAAACGTTGTAACACCTGATTGCTTGACCCCCTGAATTGTATAAAAACCCATGCCTTGGTCCCAGTCACTGAAGCCAGCAGGCTCCCACGAGGCCGGAGCCAAAGCCAACAGACGTCCAGAGACCGAGACCGAAGTCAAGGGCGCTCTCGGTGGCTCCCCCCATCCTGTTTGGTGTGTGCTCGCTTGAATAAACACTTGATTGTAAGCATCCATTTATCTCGTGGCGTTTGTTCGAGTGACTGGGCTGGGTGTTAGCGACACCCAGGCATCCCTCTGCCTGCCAGGGCCTGGCGCAGACAGGGCCATCACCCCAAGGTGCCTGGGTAGGAGGCAGCACTGCCCCTCAAGAGGGTTTGAGGGTTGGTCTGGCCCTGCGCAGGGGAGGTGACTAGGGACCACAAAGGGAGTCCCAGGATCCTGTAAGAGTGCCCTCTCCGGTGGTTGAGTCTATAGGAAGCTGATTCCAATGAGATGTAAATGAACTCTGAGGGGGGCAGGGACGGCCTGGCCCTCCTCCCCCTGGCTCCTAACTGATTCCTAGGGACACCAAAGTCACTGCGCAAAGCTTCACCCCTCATCCTCAGGAGGTGTCTCTTCTTTCCCAGCCTCAGTTTCCCCAGGTGAACTGGTGTTTCAAACTCATCTCCTGTGAACTGAGATCGAAGAAGGTGGTCCTACATGCTTGGTGGGGGGCTTGGACTTGAAAGGAAGCAGGTTCAACCCCTGGTCAAGGAGTGTGTGTGGGGGGGTATAGTCTAGCCAGCGGAAGACTGCCACTCCATCCCCCATGCCCTGTGGCCTGGCAGGTGTATCTTGGAAAGTTGCTTCCCAGGAGTGCCCACTCTTGAGTTCCCTCCTTGATTCCTGTTGCTATTTTGGTCCCGCAACCCTGCAGCACCTCTTCCTCTGTTTAAACAGTGTCTTCTGGATAAACAAGGCCAGCTGAAGACAAAGGCAGAACTGCAGTGCCTTCAATTCTGTCACTTGATGCGTGGCAGCATGTGCTCAACATTTGAAACAGCATCCAAGAGGAGCTAGGAACATGACTGCTTGATAAACGGAACTTTGAGCTTGTTGTCATCCCTCTCCACTCCTGCTCGTTATCACAGAATTATCTTAGACTGGGTGTTTTATAAACAGCAGAATTTTATTGCTGGGAACCAGGACTTTGTGGTGCAGCCACTGACTGGGATGCCAGCATTCCATGTGCATGCGTGTTGGCGTCCTGGCTGCTCTGCTTTCCATCCAGCAACTTGCTAATGTGTCTGGGAAAGCAGCGGAATCACAGCAGAACCCTCGTGCAGGGGCGCCTCCAGGGACTGCGTGGCTCGGTGGGGCTCAGGAGCTGGGGTGGAGCAGCTAGCCAGCTCAGCAGTGCCACGGCCAAGCAAGGGGACCAGAGGGATGGCTGCCCAGGTGCCAGTTGCCTTGCAGCCTGATCCTGCCATCTCCACCCCATGCCACCCTGCCCGCCCTCACCGGGGCATGAAGGTGCCATGGGCTCAAGTCCAGGAGCTTCCATTCTGATTCCCACCAATCGGAGTAGAAGCAGAGGTGGTCTAATGTCTTCAGACCCTGTGGAGTCTGGATGTTTCCCAGCTAGCACGCCTGCTGCAGGGCCCCAGGAGGAACTTGGCCTAGATAGGAGATGGTCAGTTTGGGGGCTTTTGTCCCCACAGTTTGAGCTGCGTTGACTGGCGATGTGGCAGTGGCATTCCTAATTGGCATCGGAGATTGGCAGCTGGGAGTGGCATGCTGTTGAGCTCTGTGTGGTTTTTCTTGCAAACACGGACGCTGGCGTGGGATGAAGGTAAGTGCCTGCCAGGGCCCAGAGGCTGGGCAGCAGAGCTGGGCTTTGAACTAGCTGTTCCCAGAACTTGGAGTCAGCACCAGGAATACAAACTGAAATTTTGGCTCTGCCTCCGTGCAGTGCTGGGTAACCTGTCTTCAAAGGGAGCCACCCTGGGCTCTATTCACCACCCTACTGGCAGGGAGGAAAGTAGGGCTGGGGAGTGGTCAATCCTAGTTGAAATTTCATGGTTGGGGCCTGGTGCAATAGCATAGTGGTTAAAGTCCTCACCTTGCAAGCCCAGAATCCCATATGGGTGCCGGTTCTAATCCCAGCAGCCCTGCTTCCCATCCAGCTTCCTGCTTGTGGCCTGGAAAAAGCAGTTGAGGACAGCCCAAAGCCTTGGGATCCTACACCCGCGTGGGAGACCCAGAAGAGCTCCTGGCTGGTCTGGGAAAGCAGTCAAGGACGGCCCAAAACCTTGGGACCCTTCACCTGCGTGGGAGACCTGGAGAAGGCTTCTGGCTGTTGTAACCATTTGGGGAATGAACTAGCGAATGGAAGATCTTTCTGTCTGTCTCCAAAGAAAATAAATAAATCTTAAAAAATGAGAGAAAAGAAATCTCAGAGCATCCCTGCAAAGGAGAACTGGTGGCTGTCGTGCAGCTGTCACAGCTCCAGGGACCCGGAGGTTGTGTGACGTGCATGGGGTGTGGGTGCCCAACCTATCAAGATGGCACAGAGCAGGCCACAGTGGAGAGTGAATGGCAAGCCCTCAGGGGACCTGTGACACGACAGAAGTGAAGGGAGCGTCAGGTGCGAGGACAAGGCGTGTTCCCCGCAGCTGATACGTGCTTGCCCGTACGTGTGTGCATCTGCGCGGTGTCTCTGTTCCAGGTTCCTGGCTCTGAGCCTCCTCTGCTCTCAGAATCTGCTGCGCCGTGGGCGTGACTCATCACTGATAAGGGGTAGGGAGAGGAGAGGCCTCTGAGAAGGAGGGGATCCAGACAAGGCAGGGCTGAGTTAGCTTCAGGGTGAAGGCTGCTCACCAGTGAGAGCCAGATGGGGAGGGAGGCTGGGTTCTGAAAGTTCTCAAGCTGTGAGGGTCCCAGAGCTTGTGGCTCTTGGCAGTGCTGGGGTCTGGGAGCACCTGTGGCTTTAGGCAGCCCCTTTGTTTTGCTTCCTTCAGCTTTGCACATTGGCAGTATCGTAGCCAATGAAGTTTATCCGTGGGGCGATTATTGCTAATTGAAAAAAATTTCCCAGGCCCAGCGGCGTGACCTAGCGGCTAAAGTCCTCGCCTGGAATACATCAGGATCCCATATGGGTGCTGGTTCTAATCCTGGCAGCTCTGATTCCCATCCAGCTTCCTGCTTGTGGCCTGGGAAGGCAGTCAAGGACGGTCCAAAACCTTGGGATCCTGCACCCGCGTGAGAGACCCGGAAGAGGCTCCTGGATCCTAGCTTCGGATCGGCATAGCACAGGCCGTTGCGGTCATTTGGGGAGTGAACCGTCGGACAGAAAATCTTCCTCTCTGTTTCTCTTCCTCTCTGTATATCTGATTTTCCAATAAAAATAAAATAAATCTTTAAAAAAAAAGAAAAATTTCCCATTTTGCTTCCTTTATAATAAGTCGGTAAATGATAGCCAAGTGTTTCCCCGAGTCCCAGCAAATTATGGGACCAGAGGATGAGGACTTGGTGGTAGTATCCCCTGATTTATAGTTGGTCCAGCCGAAGTGTGGGTAACCCAGCGCCCTGTTTCGGGCTGGCATCTGAAGAGGGGCTAACCTCTTTGCTTGTGAGATCTGATGCTGTTTGCCAATAAGATGGCATCATAACCATGTCATGGGCTTAAGCCTCAATGCTGGAGTCCTCACAGCCGGGGTTAGGAGCGAGTGTCTAGCACAGCAGGCAGACCCTGTCTGGGCCCGGGTTAGGCCACCATCTCTGCTTTGGTTCCGGCTTCCTGATGCTGGGCACTCAGGCTGGCAGCAGGGATTGGCACAAGCACCTGGACCCCCACCACCCATGTGGGAGACCTGGATTGAGCTCCTGGCTCCTGGCTTCAGCCTGGCCCAGCCCTGGCTGTTGCAGGCATTTGAGGGATGAACTAATGGAGGGGCGATCTCTCTCTCCTCTTGTCTCTCAATCTGACATTGAAACAAATACAATAAATTCTAAAACTGTAAAACAACAATAAACCAGTGTTGAACAAACGGTCCTGGCTCTGCTGGCCATTCCCAGCCACTGCCACACGACAGGTCACTCATGAGGGTTAGTGTTGGAGTCCAGAAGCCCAAGGTCAAAGCTCTTAGCAGGTTCAGGGTCAGACAAAGGCCTGTTTCTCATGACCAGCACCTTCACTGTGTTCACAAAGTGCACAGGGCCAGAAAAAGCCCCGTGGGGTGCTTTCACAGATGCTCAAAGGGGCCCTCCCCACCGTGACTTGATCACAGCCTCAGCGTCCGCCTCCGCACGTCCCTGCTGTGGGGGTTCGGCTTCAACAGACACTGGGGGTGACTGACCCAGCACGCAGACTCTAGCGGGTGCTGCTGCAGGCCACACGGACTCGCGGTACCTGCTCTCACGTGAGAGTGCACGCTGGCCCCAGCAACGCTCAAGTCTGAACGGGAGGACAGGTCCCTGGGGGTGCTTTGGCTTTCAATGCCACACACTCCGGGAGCCACATCGATGCACATGACGTGGGATTTGGTCCAATTCCGATCAATGGAGGGAGCAGCCAGGCAGCCAAGATGCCGCTTGCAACAGATGCATCCTGTGTCAGAGTGCTACGGTCCGAGTCCTTGGAGCTGCTTCCAGTCCAGTCCAGTTTCTTGCTAATGCACACCCTGGGAGCAGCAGGTGAAGGCTCAGGCAGCTGGGTCTCTGTTGCCCATGTGAGAGACCCGGATGGAATTCCTGACTTCGGCCTAACCCAACTTGGACTGTTGCAAACATCTGGGGAATTGACTCGGCAGGTGAGAAATCTCTGTCTCGCTGCCTTTGAAATAGTTAATAATAATAATAATAATAATAATAATAATAATAATAATAATAATAATAAGCTGAGGACAGCATGGCACTGGTGGGTGCCAAGCAAGGGGAATGAAGTAACCCAGGAGTTGGCGTTTGGCTCAGTAGGATAAGCAGCTGTTTGGGAACCCTGTATCCCATATCTCAGTGCCAGCTTGAGTCCCAACACCTGCATTCATTCCAGTTTCCTGTTAATGTGTGCCTGGAAGACAGCAGGTAATGGTTCAAGTACCTGGGCCCTTGCTATCCACATGGAAGTCTCAGAGGAGATCTAAGCTCTAGGCTTCAGGTTGGCCGACCTTGGTATTTGGGGAGAGTGAACCAGCAGATGGTAGATTCTCTCTCTCCTCCATCACGCTGCCATATACAAAAAATTGGTCCTGGCAAAGCAGCCTGGTGGTTAAAGTCCTCTCCTTGCTTGTGTTGGGATCCCATATGGGTGCCAGTTTGTATCCCAGCCATTCCACTTCCCATCCAGCTTCCTGCTTGTGGCCTGGGAAAGTAGTCCAGGACGACCCAAAGCCTTGGGACCCTGCACCTGTGTGGGAGACCAGGAAGAGGCTCCGGGATCCTGGCTTCGGATTGACTCAGCTCCAGCTGTTGTGACCATTTGAGGAGTAAACCAACAGATGTAAGATATTTTTCTCTGTCTCTATAGATCTGACTTTCAAATAGAAATCAATCAATCAATCTGTAAAATATATGTAGTGTATATAATAAAAATGGACAACAGACCTAAATAGACATTTCTACAAAGAAGACATAGAGGTTTATGGCAAAATGCTCCCCATCACCTATCCACAGGGAACTACCAAAACCAGTAATGAGCTATCACTCCATCCCAGTAAGAACAGCTGTTATCTAAAAAACACAGTCGGTATTGGCAAGGACATGGAGAAAAGCAAACCTCTGCCTACTTTGGGAAGGAATGCAAGGTAGTACCCACAATCAAAAATAGAACTATCATGTGATCTGGCTAGCCTGCTACTGGGAAAACGTAAGATGGAAATGAAGCCAGCCTGTGGGAGAGACTTCTGCAGTCCCTCTGTGTGCTGTGGTCCTCTCCCCGACAGCCAAGACGTGGGAGCAGACCAAGTGCCTGTGAGCTGATTCAAGGGAGAAGACAGCGTGATGTGGCAGTGGGACAAGCCTGCGACCAGCTGATCCCAAAGCAGAGTGCCACTGCACCTGCTGCCACTCCACTTCCCATCCAGCTCCCTGCTGGTACACCTGTGAGAGCAGCAGAGGACAGTCCAAGTACTTGAGGCCCCCCACCCACAGGGAAGACCCAGAGAGAGCTCCTGGCTCCTTGCTTCGACATACGGTGTGAACCAGAGGGTGAAATCTCTCTCTGTCACTCTGCCTTTAAAGTAAATAAATAGATATTTTTAAAAGATGTATTTATTTTTATTGCAAAGTCAGATATATAGAGACAGGAGGAGAGACACAGAGGAAGATCTTCTGTCTGATGGTTCACTCCCCAAGTGAGCAAAACGGTTGGAGCTGAACCAATCTGAAGCCAGGAACCTCTTCCAGGTCTCCCACACAGGTTCAGGATCCCAAGGCTTTGTACCGTCCTCGACTGCTTTCCCAGGCCACAAGCAGGGAGCTGGATGGGAAGTGGAGCTGCTGGGAGTGCATACAGGATCCTGATGTGTTCAAGGCAAGGCAAGGACTTTAGTCACTATGCCACCACACCGGTCCCAATAAGTAGATTTTTTTAAAAAAAGATTTATTTTATTTTTATTGGAAAATCAGATATATAGAGAGGAGGCAAGACAGAGAGGAAGATCTTCCTCCGCTGATTCACTCCCCAAGTGAGCGCAACAGCTGGTGCTATGCCGATCTGGAGCAAGGAGCCAGGAACTTCTTCCAGGTCTCCCACACAGGTGCAGGATCCCAAAGCATTGGGCTGTCCTCAACTGCTTTCCCACGCCACAAGCAGGGAGCTGGATGGGAAGTGGGGTCGCCAGGACTAGAACGGGTGCGCATGTGGGATCCCGGCGTGTGCAGAGTAAGGACCTTAACCATCACACTATTGCGCCGGGCCCAGGCATCCCCAGTTTTAAGGTTGTGTACCAAACCTCCTTCTACCTCCCTCCCATAGGACCATCCCAGATGAAGTGTAATGCGGCTCCCTGCGAACTGGGGGCTACATGAGTTTATGGTGGGGCCCTCAAGGTCCCCCATGTGTTTCACCAGTATAGTGAGCTGTCAGAGGGGCATCTGGGATTTGAACCAGTGTCCATATGGGATGTTAGCGCTGCAGGCAGAGGGTTAGCCTGTTAGATCAGCATGACAGCCCTGGTAGCACTTTTTATGGAGCCTGAGCTTTGTGCCTGGCACACACGCATGAACACACATGTGCCTCTGTGTACCACTCACCATCACCTCCCCACCCTACAGATGGAGCAACTGAGGCTCAGGCACGCTCAAGGCCTGGGCCCAAATCCCGCAAGAGGCATGAGGGGCATGCGTTAGGATCACGCAGTCTGAGGGGAACATGGCTCAAGAACCTGTAAGGGCTGCCCTCCACGCCTTCACCTGCTGGGTCTCAGCTGCGTGGCCATGTCTCTTACCAGTTTTGTTATGTCCACTTACACACACTTATAGGCCAGGGGTCCTGTCTGGACAGGTGTATGCACATAGGTGCTCCACTGGGCCCTAAAATTGCCCCCTCTTGTGCCCCATGGCATGCTCCCAGAAGGGGGTGTGGGGCTGAATCTGTATCAAGAGCTTTGATTTCTGATCCTCTGCTCAAGTTCCCTGGACAGGTGCCCGTCCGTTCCCCCAACCCCTGGCCGCTCCTGAGCAGTGGGGCAGTGGGACCTGCAGACCCTCATCCTAACATGCCAGCACCTGAGCCACTGCGGGCATTCTCCTTAGAAAATAAACATTTGCCCTTGCCAAGTGGAAATGGTTTCAAAGCTCAAAAGCTACTGCTGTAGATTTGTCGAAATCGGGTCAATATTTGGCTCCCAGCTACAGACCCAGCACCAGGATGCAGAAAACAGCTACAGCCGTGGGTGCCCCTTAGGCCAGGAATGGAGCAAGGATGAGACATGAGACAGGTATCCAAGTGGGCGAGATGCACAAACGGGCACCCAAGTGGGCCTTGCAGCAAGCCGTCACGTAGGCAGCCACCTGTGACACCAGCATTGCAGATGAGCCCCACTTTGGGTCCAACTCTCTGCTAATGTGCCCGGGGAAGGAAGCCGAAGGTGGCCCAGGTCCTTGCGTCCCTGCCACCCATGTGGGAGACCTGGATGGAGTTTCCAGGCTCTTGCCTTCAGA